TAAAATTTTTTTGATATAATAACGTTTTAGTGAAATTCCCTCTAAAATTTTTGGATTATTTAGGGTATTTAATTTCATGCAAGCTATATTTTGATTTAAATCGAAGCTGTTAAATTTAAAAATTCTTGTTATGTAAAATTTTTATACAAATTTTTTTAAATTCGATAAAATTCTTCAATAACAGAATTAAACATCACAAAATGTAGTATAATTAGAAAAAGTACTATACTTCATATTAATCTACTCCGTTCACTGTACCCATACCCAGCTTTGGGGTAAATAATTATCACAAATATTATTGTATACGTCATATTATTACTATTAGTTTTGGTTTACGTGTAAAATTATAAGATTTTATAATACATTTAGCGGCAAATATAAGCCAGCAAAGAAAGTTAATCAATCGGAATGAGCAAAGAAACAAACTGCAGAAGAAATTGTATTTAAAGTCTTGTTTTGTTTAAAAGAATTTTATCCTTCACATTTTACATGATCGGACAAACGTGAATGTTCATTTTTAGGCTCCAAAACCCTAAAGGTTTTTTTGTCTTTTTTATGTTAGACAAGTAAGATTTGCCTGAGAACTAATTCGAAATTTGATTTCGAGGTAGTATTATTTATTCATTTAAATCGGACTAAGGTAATATCGTACCCTTGTTTAATTTTTATAATTATATTTTAGATTCTACTTATTTTTTTTTCTCGTTATTGTTGTATATTTATTGAAATTTTTTCTTATTTATTAAATTTTATATAAAAAAAAAATATTAATTGCAATAATTGATCTGATAATATTTGTTTGAAAATTGTAATTGCATGACAATTATTATAAACAAAAAAAAGAAAGAAATATTATTAAAAATTATAAAAAATATTATGGGGAAAAAAAAAATAATAAAGTTTTTATGTAATTTTAATATTTATATTATAAAAAAATGTTTGCATACGCGTACATACACACACGTACATAGATGGGCAAATAGCATATATATAGGCGTTTACGTGTGTCTACAAAATTTCAATTTTTTTTTAATAATAATAATAAAATTCAATTTAAATAACAATTTTTAATTAATTGACAAGATATTTGAAAATGTTTACGCTTCATTTAAAATTTTATGGTAATTTTTTAGACTTTATCAATATTTGTTTTTTGTTTTAAATTTTAAAATCAGCAAAATATTATTTAGAGTAAATTAAATATTTATATCAGTATTGTTATGCAATTAGATTGAGGCATGAAAATGTTTTTACTGATGGACTTTGACAGTGTTTTAGTATTTTATCGCGAAAATTGAACTTGTTCTATAATTTGGTATTTTACGAAAAAGGTACAACATTTAATGCAAGAATAGCTTTCGGGTTAGTTTTGGTTGTATTGTAATATAAACGATACATTGTCCATATTTTGCACCATTGTTAAGTGCATTCATAATAAAAATTTTGTCAAAAATACGATGTCCAAGGGTCGAGAACCGAATTTGGCGAAAAACTAAGTAAACAAATCTATTAACTTAAAATCTTGATTAGGTAATTAATAATTCAAATTTTTTCCAAATATTTATAAAAATAGCTGCGGGTTCCTGAATTAAATTTTGCTTTTTTAATATCATCAAAATGACAATTTTGTTATTTAACTTCAACCTATTCTCGTGATTTAATCTATTGCAATAACAAAACGTTTTTAGTTTCAAAAATGAATGTTTAAACTTTTATTTAGTTTGTATTTTTATTCAAATTTAATTGTAAATATTTGCGAAAAAAATATTATTTTCATTTTATATGCAAATTTCATGAAATTGATATTTTTCACTGTACATATATTTTTTTCCGTGTTAATTTAATTTCATAAAAATGCCGGTCCAGTGATGTTTGGTTAGTTGAAATTGATTGTACTACTTTTATAGTGCTAAGGGTAATGTTTATAATTTTAGGTGCACTACTGTAAATTTATATGTGCACGCGTTTCATCTTAAGGACACCATAATATAAAGCTGATACTGACAAATTTCAGTAACAAAAATTTCGATTTTAAGATTATTTTATTAAATTTTACAAAAGTTACAGTTTTTATAAGTTGCACGCGACGCATATTCATATTCTTATTTGAACTCTGCACACATTATTTTCCTTATATAATTTCCTTATAATTAAAATTGAATTTCTGTTGCGAAAGCAATGCTATTGGGAGTTTCATTTCCAAATGACATGACGCATTTTACGCAATTCATGAAATTAAATACATTATTAAAATTTTTTTTTCATCATAAATTAATATTTATTCTATTAATTAGTTTAAATATAATTAATGGCTATTATTCTGTCAATTATAATAAATTTCATTAATTATTCTCCATTATGATAATAATTATAATAAAAATCACAAAAAAACAATACATTTTTCCTATTATAGTCTAAGAATAAAAAAAATAAAAAAATGAAATGAGAAGAAAACGATTAAATTTTCATTTGAAAAAAAAAATATTTATTTAATTTGTTTTAATTAATTTTAATTGTAAAACCAATAAAAATCATGTAATTTTATTTATTTTATTAAATTAATTTCTTTTTTATAATTTAAATTCGTTCTTTTTTATATTAAATTAATATTCGAACCGAAAATACTTGTTCTAGTATTGTAAAATTTGTGATGGAATTTAGAAGAAAATCCAACATGAAGTCTATGAAACCAGTGCCTGCCAACTTCGAGAGCAAAATTTTGTAATTAATAGTAGTGAGTGCTTTGGTGATATCTACAAAGTAAAGCGGCCGTGTGCTTAGTCGCATTTAAACTTGAATATGATTTTTGAGCTTAATTTTAAAATAGCATTTTCGGTGTTTCTGTCAGCTAGAAATTAAAAATTAATTATTACTGAAGAAATAAATTCCATTCAGATAATTAACCAGGTTTTCTTTAATTAATTTTTTAGAGAAGAGCTTGCCAGTACAAAGTAAATAGAAATCGGTCTGTTAGAATCGGTCTGTCGGGAAATTAATTTGAATATTTAAAAAAACTTATTTTTAAGAAGTTAATAACAGCACCTTCTGGATATTTTTTTTAATTAAAAATTTAATTTAGAGTAGTTTATTAAAAGTATTTTATTTATTGTATACCAAGCAACGTGTTCGCAATATACCTACAGTTTTTCGGAATTTTTTTTATGACAACCGGAAATATATTTTCAGAAACTATAAATTTTATTTTCAAAAACCATAAATTTTTTTATAAGATCCAAGCAGAAATTGTTTATTTTCATTATTTTACGATTTTTTACGAAACCTGCGTTCCTGACAAAGTTTTTCTTTATTTTAACGATATTACATTAGCCACACAAGTGTCACTTTCAGAAGCTTGAACATATTTTTATGCTTGACAAAACTTTTTTATAAAATATTTTAAAAATTACCATTACCAGATTTGTTTAGTAAATGTCTTATGCTTTTATATAAGTTTGGGTATACGAATCTGTTATTAAACTTTGGTTATTTCCTAAAATATTATTGTTTAAATAAATTTTGTAATGCTATGGTGTTCAAATGTATTTATGTAAACTGAAGTTCAGATTGTAAAATTACAAACAAGCATTTTACTTTATTGAATTAAATTAGAATTTATTAAGCATTTGAAAAACAGGGAACTGCAGAATTTTTGCAAAATTTTTGTATTAACATTTTTAAATACACACAAATATACAATGTGCTTATACACACATACATGTATAATATTCATATGCTCATAAAATTTTCTTAAGTAGATCTGTGTTTCTCGTATATAGAGAAAAAATAAAATATTGTCTTATAATGAAAATATACATACATACATAAATATGCGTTCGTATTAGTGTTGTGTAGTATTGTTATTTCAATTGTACAAAATAAGTACTGTTATTGAGTGCATTAAAATACACGACCATAAAAATAAGTTTTAAAAATTTAACATTTCTTTCTTCTGTTCTTTTATAATGCAATTCTTTTATATTAGCACAATAATTGCACTTTATCCTTGATATATGCAGGATGCAATTCATGTTTTTTTTAAATATTTTATGCTCTATATAAAATTATTTTGTTTATGGTTTTGCTTTTTTTTTATCCGAAGACAATACAAGATTAGTCTTGTTTTTTTTTAAATATTATGTAACATGCTATTTGAAATGCTAGAAAATTGTTAGTGTTTGTACTACATACATATAATAATTTTTCTTGCTGCTATATAAATTTTATCTTTTGTTTTTGTTATACTACGAAAATTTCTTAAATTTGCAAATAATTTTTATTTAACTTAAAAATTTTTAAAATAAAATTTTATCAATATTCATATTTAACTTTATCTACACACATACATGTATGAACATACATCCATACATATATATACATATATAAATGCAAAAAATTAAATATCTATAAAATAAAATCTGTACTTATAATTCACATATGTATCGAATATTGAACTAATTCTGTTTGACAATATGTTTATGCTGAAGACAATTAAAATATGAAAGTTAGAATATTTTTAGAATGAAATTTTTGCATACTAGATGCAATATATTTAATATAAAATGTTGTATAATAAAGAAAATTCAAATAAAATAAAAGGAAGTATTATAAAATAAAAAAATTCGATTAAAAATTAAAAATTTTTTCAAATATTTTTTTATGCTACTAGAAGCAATTGAAGGAAGACATAGAGTTCAACATAAATTTAAGAATTTGTTTTGTGATTAACTTGTTTTTTCATATGCGTACAGCTTTAATTTCATTTAAGTTGAAATGCACAATACTCATGAATGCACATGGTTGTCTAATTCGAAGCACATAATTATTTAATGCTAAAATAGTTTACAAATCGTTGGAATATTTGAAAACAAATTGGTTCTTGTGTATAAGACATGGCGATAGTTTAAGTCCGACTTTATTCAACTTGATAATGGATAAGATCATGTAGGCAGAATCAAAAAGTGTGAATGACGAATGGGATAAAAATTCTCTGTTATGTATAGAAAACAATGTGATGTGCCATATACAAGATGTAGTTCGTTGGTCGAGACAGAAAGAACGTGGTAGGGGTAACTATATAAAAAGAAATGATAAAAATAGGCTTGTCAAAATTGTCTTTAACAACATACCACAAGGTTATTGTCCATCTGGACATCATCCAAGAAGCTGGCGAGTGCGAAGGACAATTCAATCCCAGAAAGGTGCTAGAACAGGACGTAGTCCGAAAAAAGAAGAAGAGAAATTGGTTCCTTAAATATTGTGGTACATTACGAATTATGTTTAATTTAAGAACAGATCTAATACAGCCCAAATTTTTTTTTCACTGAAATTTTCAAAAAAAATGTTTTATAATTATAAAAATACTTAATTGATATTACATTTAGTATGATGATTACGTGACCGATTTTAATAATTAAAATCTCCTTATTTAAAAATCGTACACATAATATTATTAAATTAAAATTAATTTTCATTTTCAGATAAAAAAAAATTAAAAAAAAAATTCACCATAAAATTAAAAAATAAAAAAACAAAAAAAAATATAATAAAAAAATTAGTGGGTGTATACATCAAATAATTCAACTAGAAGCGTTAAAAAAAATAAAAAAAAAAAATATAAAAACACAATTTTTATTTAATTCGGTCCATTAAAAGTGATTTATTGAAATTCAAACAGCAAACATTAATTTTAATAGCTGTAATATTTGATTTTTTGTTTTGCGATTGTTAAGGTGCTTGTAATACAATATGTTTGGTATATGTACGCACACATTGGCAATTTAAACATAACTGAGTATGTCAATGTATTAATTACAAAATTTTTTAAATACACATATTATGTATGTAAATATGCTCAAAGGTGATGACAAAATAATGTGAAGTTCTGCATGTTCTGTCATTTATATATGTGGACGATATTATTAGACGTCATTAGACAAACCAAACGCTTGCCGTTTTAGAACTTAATTACTTTTTTCGTATTTTAGACTCCGGTGATGTATGAAGGTCGTCAATACGCAGATGATGCACATGCATCGCTGTTTTAAAGAACCTGTATGTTAATAAGCGAATTAGGTATAAATAAGACGCTGCATTTTTTCTTATTGGTGACCAATTTAAAAATCCAACTCTGCCATTATGTTTTCGATCCGTTGCTGTTGTGTTCGAAACGAGACTTTGTTAAAATATGCTCTTATATTTTAACATTACACTTGTAATTTTTTCGTCATCAATATTATAGCTGCACCAAAGATATTGGGAACATCTCTGTATCGATTCATTCATGTTAAAAATAAAATAAACAATTTTTGTTTTTTATTTTATAAAATTAAATTGTTTTTTTTTTGCTGACAAAATCATTTATTATCAGAAACGGAATAACGATGTTATTTAATACTTCCGCATATATGAACATATCGGATCTACTGAGAAAAACTGAATTTACTATTAACCTAAATGTTAGGGAAATAAGTGAAAAAATAAAAAAAAAAACATATATAGGTAGGTTACCTACGTAAATACAATTTTTTTTATTTTCATATTATTTTTATTATAATAACGTTCATTTTAAAGTAATTTCAGTAGAATAACAGTAATTTTCCATCAGAAGTAGATTCTCGAAAAGCACTAATATGTTACAATAATAGTAAAGAAAAAAAAATAAAACAAATTTAAAATAAAAACAAAGAGAGAGGAAAAAAAAAATACCCTTGAATTTTGTTTTGAAACCAATAAATTAAGGTGGTTAAAATTTTGATTTTTCGTATATAATTCAGTTCATTTATTTTAAATACGAAGACCTGGTGAGAGATTGGAGTAATCACTATTTTAAGTAAACACAAATAATGGTTCCGTTAAATTAATAATTGAATTTTTCATTTCTTTCTCGTAATATAAGCAATTTGTTTCGAAATATTTTTATGAAAATTTAGAAAATCTAATACAATGCAGACTTAGTTTTCCGAATCTAACCATATATTACAGTTTTAAATCCGAAGTTATTTTGTTTCAAAAATAAAATCTTTAAAAACTTCCTGGACAACCATTAACTGGATCTAAAAACGTTATGTTCAAACATGTTGGAAAACAGTTGCATTGGAACATGTTTTATTTAAACTGATTGCAACGTGTTCGAAGTAAGTTTTAAATTTCATGAATCATGTCTTATTATGACGAAGTGCAACTGCTTGCTTTTCATTTAGAATTTTATTTTCTTGCTTTTGTTTTTATTTTAACTTACCTTAAAAATATTTATTCATCTGCACAGACGATTTAACAATATTGAAAGAAGATCATTGCCGATGAAATTACCTTTAAAGGCCATAAAATAACAAAATCAATTTATTCTGTCTTCCATATCCTTACAGAATTGTTTTTCTTTTCTATATAATTTTTGTACATTTTATTTTTCGGTTTTCTTTTTTTGTTTTTATTTTCATTTTTTATACTAAATAAAAAAACGACGGAAGTAAGGAAGAACAATTTTATAGTGTATAGAGGAATAGGTGTAACCGATTTTTTTCCTATAAATCTATATATTATGCATGCATGTACATCCATTCAGTTATATATTGTATATATGTATATATTAAATCTATTGTGTATATATATAGAGTTGCTCTGGTATAAGGAAGCTTAAAGTGTTTTAACTTTAAAATCCATGGATATAATGTCGATACCATGTCCTACCTTATTCCATATAGAATTTTGTTATTGACATATTTTTTTTTCTGTTAGTTTTTAGTTATATTGCTATCTACATATTTATAATAAAATACAAACATACATGGATATACGTTACAAACATTTATATTTATTTTCCCATTGCTTATTGCTCTAAGACTTAAAATAACTACTCTCCTATATCTTATAAAAGTACAAACTATATTTACAATTTTAAAATTTTCAATTTTCAGGCATAAGTTTACTAAAATAACTTACTAGAAGTATGGTATGGATATTTTAACATCAGGAAAACTATAGTACAAGGAGAATGAGAAGAAAAATAGAAGAGAATTTTAGCCATGCTGCGGCTGGTTCTTCATTTTCTATATATTCTCCATCTTATTTTTCCCTTTTATACGAAAATTTTATTTTTATTGTATTGGTGGTAATCGTTTTTCACATCAGGGATTCAGTAGGATTTAATTCCTCTTCAAAAACAGTAAAACAAAAAAATAAATAAATATAAATAAATAAATTGGCTTTTATTTTAGATACACAGGATAACAAATGAATAACAAAAAAAAAAGGAAAAAACGAAAATAAAAATAAAAAATAATTTGAAGGAAGCGTTGAAAAAAAATTCGTTCAATGAAATGATACAAAAAATAAATAAATAGAAAAGAAATTCACCAAGGTAATAAAAAATAAACATATAGAAAAACAAGCACATATGTATATACATAGGTAAGAGTAGTTGCATATTGTGTGTACAAATATATATTCACTCGCCATAGGTGTATAGCGGACTGTGGTAGAATGGATTTTAGTTCAGTAATTGCAACCGTCCTGGTCATATTTGTACAATAATTTTAAATTGCTTATTTTTAGTTCTTGGATTTAAAATAGAATTAAATTTTTTTTTGTGGAAATGAAGATGTTTTTTATCAGTAATTGCCAAGGTTTTATGTAATTTATTAAGAGTAAACTGATGTTCAATAAATGAAAGAAACCAAGATATTACAATAACCACTTGCTTTTAAACTGTACCCGAATAATTGAAAATAATAAATGATATGCAACAAATCAAGAATATTTTTACAAATTCATCACCTTCAGTAGTTCAATGATATTTTGTTATCTCCAAATATGAAAATTATAATTTTGGAAAAATTGCATACTTTTAGGCGACTTGATCAGGAGTCTGACATAGAGAGCAGCATTTCATTTCAATAGTGGTTTTCATAATATATTGTGAAAATTTAGAAAAAAAAAGACTATACTCATGGTTGGGTCCTCGATATATACCAAAAAACTTCAAATTAAATTCTTCAGAAGATCTGGATTTTGAGCAAATGCTTAATTAAATGTTATTCGTACTCTGTGGTAGTGCCTAAGCACAATATTCTTCTTTGTTCAGGATTATATTTAAACATCGTTACATACTTTCTAATAAAATGAACTCGTTTTTGGAATAATTTCCATATTAATGAATTAAATTCTACATAAAACAAAATTTTTATTTCAACGGTTTACCACACAAAATGTGTATAATTCCAATTATATTCAAAAAAAGTAATAAATTTATTTAAAATAATTTAATGACACATAATAATTTTTAATGTCTAACATTCATAGGATATCAATCCGAAAATATAAATTATATTATATTTGAAAATGATGAGAAAGTTAAAAAAAATTTTATCTGTGTTGAAAAATATGAAGAACAATCAACCATACATGATGTGCTTATTATGTATATTTATAATCTGTGTTCAATTTAAAATATGATGCAACTGGCTTAGAAGTTTAATTAAGAATTGCTTTAAATATTAATTTACACCTTAGAAAAACGCAGCATGTCACATGTATAAAATAAAAAATAATAAGCATTAAAAACGAAAATTGCAATTATTTAAATACCTTTAAGAAACTACCGAAAGAGCTTTAAGTCACAATGAAGAAATTTTCATTTTCTCCCTTTTTTTTGTTCAATTTTATGTTTGAAAACCTCAAGGGACATTTGTAAAAGAAGATTTCTTCAGTGCGGTAATAAATTACTTAAGAAACATTATTTACCAGGCAATTATTGCATTTGACATTAAAAATCAAATATTTAGAATTTTTTCTTCATTATCCTGGCAAACCATGAAAATAAATTAAGGAAAAAGTGAGTATATAAAAGTGTGTTATTTGCATAAGCACATTTTTCAAAATTGTTATCCGTATTTGAAATTATGTAAAAGGAGAAAATTTATTTGAAATTAAAAAATTCTTTTTTTTAAGGATCATTTGACTCCTTCGATGGAATTCCACCTTGCCGTGGTGAAGGGGCTGAAGTAGGATCAATGATCTTAAGAGCGATGTCGGCGGATACCACGACTCTGTGCAACCATGCCGACAAGGTCGTAAGTGAGGCCTGAAAACCAAGAGAATCTCCTGGGCATGAAGTAACGGCGTAAGCTTACCTTCAATAAGTCCCTCCCCCGCAATCCAATGGTGTTACACGACCCGTGCCTAGTGGACTAGTTGGTAGCCGGGGGGTATACTGGCTACCGCGAATGGAGTCTCTGATACCGGGTCACCTCAGAGAGTATATTTGACCTTACTACGTGATGCGGGGCTCTGGCGTAGCGGACTACCCTTTCCCTAGCTATTCGTGGGACCAAAACATGAATGGAACAAACAAAACAAAGAAAAAAGAAAGATCGGTACGACGGTAAAAACACCGTCATGGTCCGGGAGTAACCGGACA